AGGCATGGTTCCTATCCGAGATAAATTCCACTCATGAAGTTTCCACTACAGGCTGCCTTCAAAGAACAGATAGAAAGGACCGAAGTGATGCATTTACACTCAAAGACTGGGTTTAGTTCACACTCCATCTGTATATTTTATTTTGCCAGGCCTTGGATTTGCTCATCCCTCCCGTTTCCAACAATGCCAAGGCAAGATTAAAAGCTCACCTGAGGCGTGGGACAGCATTCTGTGAACTGGAATTGTATACAGAAGGTAAGGAGAGGGAGACTTTGAAAGGTAAAATGCCTCTACTTTTATTTATTTTTCTTCCACTATATTGCTGCCATTCTCTCCTTACAAAAAGGATTATCACAGTGCTTCTTGAAACCAGTAGAAATGAGCTACTGTACTAAAAATATTATTTATGTAAAATATTTTGGTTTATGGGAAATTGGGAGGGACATGAAACTTATTTTCTAGGCTCACAACTTCTGTTCCTTTGTTAAACTCCAAATCCTTTCCTTTTCTAAACTTAGTCCTGTGTGAACCTGTTGCCTGCTAAGCTTCATTAAGAATTTAAGATTATCAACTGCTTTCTTGCATCAATCTTTTATAACGTGGCCGTTCTTTTCTTCGTCTCTTCTCAGGCTCTTCCTGTCAGTTGTATTGTTCTAGTTTAGTGTCTGGTCCAGAGAAAAATGTACAAAAATATAGTGAATGCCAAAAAATGATATTAATCACAATGGCTATTTTTAAAAAACCATCACCATCGATATAGCTTGCCCCGTTCACATTCTTCATTGTTATTTGGGAAATGTGATTTGGGAATCTAGCTTGTGATTTTGCAATTATTTATAAAATGCTAACTGTGGGTTGGTATTTTGTATTTAGATTAAATTACTTGTATTCTACTAAACTTCACGTATTCTACTCACTTGCCGTATTAAGAGCCCAGGAAGCCCCAGTGCTCAGGAGTTGTGTCTGGACCCTTTTCCTCTAGGCTTATCTGAGTGTAAAGCTATTTTGAGGAAGGCTGTTAATGCTGTTACATAAACATACCATATCTGTGGCCTCAAAGATAAGTGATGGGTGCTAACAATTATTCTAGGCCTCCAAGATTATCTGGCTGCTCTCAAGATCGAGCCTACAGATAAAAATATAGAGCAGGATGTGGAGAAGATTCGGCGCATAATTCAAGGCAACGAGTAGAAAAACTCTTCGGGCAAGTTTGGAAGATTTCTTTGGCACTGGCTGTTCTCCTCTTGGGCTGGAGCATCCCTCTCGGGAGGCAGAGGGCCCGGAAGACGGCGTTCCTGGGGAAGAGGCTCTGTCCTGGGCCCAATAAAGCCGCTCCTGCTCCTTCTTCCTTCGTCTCTTCAGCTCTCTTCTCCCGGGGACGGCGGGGGGGGGGGAGGCTACACCGGCGAATGGTCGGTGCCCGTGTTGATCCCGTTGTGCTGCGGCGGCCCGGCGGCGGCCAGGCGGGCGGTGAAGGCGTTGTCCAGTGGGCAGAACCGGCAGGGCGCCGTGGCCGAGGTGGGCCGCAGGGCGCCGTAGTCGCTGGCGGTGGTTTTGTAGAGCAACGGGACCGCCGCGCTCAGGCGCGTGCCCGTCACCAGCGTCCGCGCGTCCGCCAGGCACGTGAAGATGGGGTTTCCCGGGTTGGCGGCGGGGAGGCTGCGCGGCCCTTCTCTCCCGGAGGCCATTTGCCCCGGCCGGACCGCGACGACGACGGCGGAGGAGAAAGGAGAGAGGCCTGTGCAGCGAGCCGCCTTCCGCGTCGCCCGGGCAACGGCTCGGCCCCGCCCTTTGTTGATGCGCGGGGCCGCACTCCCCCCTGGGGCATGTAGTCCTGGAGCGGCCAGCCTGCCACAGCGCTGGGCGGGGGCGGACTACACTTCCCGGCGGACGCCCCGCGGGAGGCGCAGGCGCAGCGGCGTCGCCTTTCCGGTCCCCGGTTGTTGTTCTGGCGAAGCGGGGGAAGCCGCCGGTCGCTGCGCTGCCCGCCGCTCCAGCAGGTAGGCCGGTCGCGGTCCCGCACCGCCCCGCGGCCTCCTGGCCGGTCTGGCCGCCAAGCGCCGGTTGCGCCCCCTTCGCACGGGAGGGGCGGACGACCGTTGGTCTCCGCGGCCTTGTGGGGGCGGCAGTGCAGGCCCGCTGCCCCTAGAGAACCCCCCCAGGCCAGAAGCCGAGCCGGCTTGGGTCGGGGGGAAGGAAGGCGAAGGACCCGGTCCCTCCTCCTCCTCCCCCCCGGCGCTGTCCGCCCCGCGTTCCCTCCCGCAGCGGCGGTTTCGGCTCCGCTCAGGCGGCCGAAGGGGAGGAGCGGAGGTCTGGGTCTGTTTAAGGCAGAGGAAGAAGGCGGCCGCTGAAGAGGCTCTTTTCCTTGCAGTTTCTTCACAATGTCAGAGATTTCCAGCGACAGCGACTCGTCTTGTGGCTGGACGGTCATCAACCACGAGGTACCAGGCGGACTTCCGTGGGGCTGTCTTTCCGTGCTTGGCTCCAGGAGCGGGAGCGCCTCCTCGGCGGAACGGGTCTCCATCCGGAAGAAGAAGGGGCGGGGGCGCTACAAGGGCTGCTGCCAAAGGCTGCGATGCGGGACAGCTTGGGCCTGCCTTGGTTGCTGGCCTGGCTGCTGCCTTGACCTTTTCTAATAACAACGTTCCAACGTTCAGTGGTTTAAAGGCAGCTGGAGTTCCCCCCCCCTTCTCCCCCCACTTCCATGAGGTCTGTTGAGCCGGAGCTCAAAAACTTGCCAGCCCCCCCCCCCCCCCCCCCCCCCCACAAAAAC